CCTGCAACGGTGCCCCGACAGGGAAGCTCCGTCAGAAAGGAGGGCATGCCGCCTTTCGGAAGACGCGTGTCGGCGCCTTCAGACGCTGCGTGGAGCAGCCAAGCGATAGCCGAGCTCCTCCCCTTGCCAGCCCCCCCCTGCGTCGCGCTCCGCCCGCGAAGTCCCCAGCATGGAGGGCTGGCCCAGGGTGGAGCCCCAGGGGGCTACGAGAGGCCACTGTTGCAGGAAGCGGACCCGAGCGCCCCCCCCCCCGCCCCTCCCAAAGGGCGAGATCATCCGTGGTTTTGGGGTACGGGATCATCAATATGCTGATGATACCCAACTTTTCATCTCTACCCCAAACCACCCAAGCGATGCCCTCGTCGTGATGCCCCAATGCCTGGAGACTGTGCGGATCTGGATGAGGACGGAGTGGCTGTGGTTCCCATCATCCCGATTTGTGCATCTTGTTCCATCTTTGATGATGGGTGGGGGGAGATTTTAGCCCCCTCAGAGAGGCCCCGCAATCTGGGCATCCTCCTGGATACACAGCTTAGTTTAGAAGAACACCTTATGGGATATTCTATTTATTTATTTTTTAAAACTCTTGAATTATGTGTTTCTTTTAATGTTGTACGCCGCCCTGAGTCCTTGGGAGAAAGGCGGCATATAAATCGAATAAACCAAACCAAAGTAACTGGCTTCATGCAACCGAGCCCCCCGCCAACCCCCGCCCCAGCTGTCCCCCCCACCCAAAAAAGAAGCACAACCAGGGTGGCAGGGAGAAGAGGAGCTTTATTCCCAAAGAGCTTCCAGGAGTGAAGCTGCAGGACAGACGGAAAGATGGAGGCGCCAAAGTCACTGGACGGTCAGGCAGGAGGGACACGAACGGCCCCCCAGGAGGAGACGGTGCAGAGGGCCTGGATTGCAAGGGAGCCCCGGCTTCCTTCTATGGCGCAGTAGGGACCTCTCGGGACCCTCCCAGCCCCTCCGGGGGCCCTGCAGGTGGGGGGGGGCTCCGTCTTCCTTCCCCACCTGCCCCCTCGTTCGGCTGCCGCTGGGTTCCCCCACTCCCCGCCTTCTCCCTGCAGCTCTGCTCTACCTCAGTAGACAACGCACAATCCACAGGGGCAGCTCACCTGTTGGCTCCCCCCAGGTGGCTCCTATTCCATCACAGAGGAACTCAAAAGACCCCAAACGGAGGCAAGGAAGGATGGGCAGCCAGGCCCCTCCCCCACCTTCCCTTTACTCAGTAAAAACGCCCCCCAGGCCAGGGAAAAGTGGCCCCGTGGGGTGCAGCAGAAGCCACGGGTTGAAGCAGCTGCCATACAGGGAGGGGCCATGCAGGGCAGGGGGAGGGAGGGGATGGCGGTCAGCAGGCTCCCATCTCTGCCTCTGGCCATCCTTCCCAAGGAAGGGGCTGCCAGGGGGCCAAGGTGGCTGGCTTGCCCTGCAGCTGAGGGAAGGGGGGGGGGCTACAGCAACTCTTAGTGTTAACGTGGGAAACAAGATGCAGCCCACCCCCCTTTTTTCACCCTCAAGGCAGGCTCAGTGTTACGAGGGGGGGCAGGGGGAACAGACAGCTAAGCGTCTTGCAACATACCAGGACAGAAGCCACAGTGCCAGAAGGCCTGCAGGGGGGGAGGGAAATATTTCCTTTGTAACCTCTCATCCCAATGACCGTCTGTTCCCTGTACATTTGCCTGCCAACCCCCCCCCCCCCAAATATTGTGCAAGAGTTGCCCTGGGAGGCTGCTCAGTTCCCCAGTCCTCCAAAAAGCCTCCCAGGGAGCAGCGTGGCAGGAGGGAGGGGTCCTTCGTGAGGCGGCTCAGGGAGGGGCAGCCCCCCCCACCGGCAGCTCTGCTACTTCCGGGGCCCCACAGGCCCCTGCAGGCTCTGCACGTAGGAGAGGGCGCTCTGCAGGGAGGTCAGGCAGTAGCCCTCCTCCCCAATCAGGTACCTGGGGGAAAAAGGGAACCGGTCAGTCCTAAGGAGGGCGGAGGCGCTGCTCAACCAGGGATCCAACTGTCCTCCCCCCCCCAGGAAAGCCCTTTCCCACCCCGCCATCACATCCATGCAGTGGCTGCCACTTCTGCACCCTCAAAATGGGCAGAGGGGAGCCGAGCCAGAGGCCTGGCAAGGGGGCAGCCCCAGTGAGAAGCGACCAGGCAGAGGGCAGAGCCAGTGCCTCCCCCCCCCTGGGCCCTGCCAAGGTGGACGAGCGCTTGCCACGCCTACCCTTCGTGGATGAACTCTTCCAGGGCGGCACACTCGGAGGCCAGCTGAGGGAGGTTGCTCTGGAGGACCACGAAGGACAGGATGGGCAAGAGGTCGTCAGCACCACTGCAAAGGGAGGGGCAGAGCGGGTCAAGGCAGGCTCCGCAGCTGGCAGTGCCGAGGGGACGCTGGTGCCCGGGGCTGCTGCAGCATTGCTGCTTTCAGGCAGGGCCTGCCCAGCGCTTGCCCAGGAAGCGGCTTCAGAGCCAGACATCCCATCTGGATAGGATGCTGCCTTCAGGTGCTCACATAGCGGCGGACACTGGTTGGAGTCGGCTCCCACAATATTCCTCTGCACATTCACAGATGACTCGCAAGGTCCTCACTGAAGAGACGGGGGAGGAAGACAGGCACACAGCTCTATGCACCGGCCACCTCTCTTCCTCCCCCCGGTTCCCACAGGCATTTCCCGGGCAGCCTTTCCCTGAGAAGCCCCCCTTTTCCAGGGACTTTTCAACCCCCGGTAAGGCCGGACCTCTTGCCCCCCAGCTGCTCCCTCCCAATTAGGAAGCCCGGCGTGTCTGTGCTGGACGAGGCCAGGGAAAGGCCCAGGGATAACCGGGAGGTGTTTCTAAAGTGGCCCCAAGGCCCAGTGGGCGACTCCATCCCAGCCCAGTCTGGCCTCACCGATGCACTCCAGCTTCTTCTGCGGGCAGCTGCTGAGCGGGAGGAGGAGCAGTTCCTGCACGGCTGCAGCGTATGGGGGAGGCCCTGCTGCCTTGGGGAGCAGCTTGGAGGGGATGCCCATCTCAGCCGGAGAGGCCTTCCTGCGCAGCTCCATGCTCCTGGAGAGAGCCTCTTCCAGGGCCCTGTAGACAGTCCTAGAGGGAGGGAAGGAAGAAGAGGGGGGCTGAGCAAAACCGGCTGGGTGGGTGGGCTCCCTCCCTTTGCCCGTACACAAGGCACGAGAGGCTCCTTGCCAGGGGAAGGGGCTTTCTGCCTCTTCCTGCCCAGCAGCCCTCAGTCTCCCCCCTTTTCAACAGCACCATCCGATCCAGAGGGCGGTGTGTCTGTGTGTGTGCTGGCTGGCTCAATCCCACCTGTACACTGTCAAGAGGGGCCCCCAGAGTGGGCCAAAGAAGGCTTCCTCCAGCCGTGCCAGGCACTGGTCCTTGGCGGCCGCCGTGTTGAGGCCTTCGAAAGCCAGCAGGGTCAGGGACAAGAGTCTGTCTGCAGGAGGAAGCAGCCCCCTCCATCAGTGCAAGCCTCTAGGAAGGAGAAGTGCGAACCCCCCCCCCACTTCCCATGGATTGGTCCGCAGCAGCTGGCAAGCTGGATTCCTCCCCGCCGACAGCCCAGTCCCCCTGGGGCTGCCCACCCAGGTGCTCACCAATGGAGTTGTGAATCTCCTTCACGACCGCCTTGAGGGCCTCCTGCTGGGAGCCCTTCTTCCCCGGCAAAGGGCTCTGCAGGTGCCCTGCTGGCTGAGCTTCGGAGGCTGACAAGAATTGCTCCAGGTCCTCGAAGGAGCTCTCCCGGTCAGCCAAGGGGGGGGACCCCCGTCCTTCTTGGGGGGGGAGCAAGAGGCTCTGGTCCTCAATGAAGGGGGTGCCAGAGATGCTATGGCGGAGGTTCAACTTGTTGTGTTCCTGGACGGAAAACATGGAGTGCAAGCTTTGGGAGGAGCGCAGCCTCCGCCCCTCGGTGGCCGCTGGCAGGAAGGCCTCGGCATCCAGCGAGGAGGAGAGGGACCAACCGCGCGAGGCCTCCGTCGTCCTGCTCTGGCTGATGAGAGGGTAGATGCGGTGGTAAGCCGAGCACTGCAGCTTCTTCAGCAACTGGCAGATGGGATGATCCGCAAAGCTGGAATCAAAGGAGAAGCCATCATCACCCAACCTGGCTGGGCTCCCCTCGCTTGGAAAACTGGCCAGCAGAGGAACGACTCTGGTGGGCCGAGGGGGAAGCGGCCTCTTCTGAAGGAGACTCGGGCCAAGCCCAGCAGCCGAGGGTCCTTCTGTCCCTCCAGGCCAGCTCAAAAGTCCGCCGAGGGACCCAGCGGACTTCTTGAAAGTATGGGACCCACCTCCCCGGGTGTCCTCCCCACTGGACGATTGTGCCCTGCTCCCCCCCCTGCCTACCTGAGCAGGTGCGAGAGAAGCTTTGGCACCAAGGACAGGTCGCTGGGCTGCTCTTTCAACTGGGCCTTCCATAGCCTTGGCCAGTCCTGGGGGGCGGGGAGAGGAGAGAACACTGAACTACAGCCCCCCCACACCCCTTCGTCCCCCTCAGCCCCTCCCCATTTGCTTCTTGGGGACCTCTGCACACAAGGAAGCACGCTGCGTCCTTGACGTGGTTGATCCTGGAGCTGCTTACGTACGTGGTCCTGCTCGTACTCCAGGATGGCCGCGTAGATGGCGCGCTGCTCCTGCTCTTCTGGGGTCAGCACCGCATTGCTGGAGAACCTCCTAAGGGGGGGGGAGGAACACGGGCTCAGAGGAGCAGCTGGGCCCCCTCCCTCCCCAAAGCATCCCAGGCCCAGCTGACTTGCCTGTTGGCGGCTTCCTGCAGGCGCAGGCGATGCTCCTCCATCTTTCTCTGGAGCTGGGGGGGGGGGCAGAGTCAAGGTCCTCCCCAGCCAGGCTTCCAAGTGCCCCAGATAGTCCCCCCCACCCGGATCTCCTGGCCAGACAGCAAAGGCCGCTGGGCCAAGCGCCAGTCCAGCTCAGGTGGGGAGAAAGGACAAAGCCCCAGCCGGCTGCAGGGACAGCCGGAGAGAAGTCAGAGGGGGGAGTGGTCCCCCCCAAATGAAGCATTGTGGGGATCTGGGATGGGAGACCACTAGGGAATCCCAGGATTGCGGTTGGGTCTCCTGAGGGTTTTCCAGCTCAGCCTGGGGTGTGTGTGTGTGTGTGTTCTCCCTTTGCCACAGAAGAGCCAGAAAGGATACGGCTTCTTCCCGGGCTTTTGCAATCACCAAGTTCTCCATCATCTGCCGTTGCAGAGAAAGGGTCTGTGGAGCAAAACTCAGCAGTCAAGAAGGGGGGACGAGGGGAGGGAAGGTGCCACCAGCCAGCCTTTCTTGCAAAAGGGGAATCACAGCCTCATCTCCGCTCCTGCAGTCTCCCCCTCCCCCCAAAAAAGATGTGTGGGCCCCAATGCCCGGCTCCCACGGGACCCCAGAGGCCCATCATCTCCCCAGACGGCCCCACTTGCCAGAGAGGTCTTCTGCACCGCCTGGTTGGGGTTGAGCCGGGCCAGCCGGGCCTCGTAGGTAGCTCTCAGCTTCTGGTTTTGCAAGGACGCCTCTTCCAGGGGGCTCAGCTCTCTGCTGCTGGGGAAGAAAAAGAAGTAAGCAGCTCCTTCTAGGCCGGGTCACCTCGACCAGCTCCAGGCAGCAGCTGGAGGGTCCAGCCCCCCCCCCCACAGCACCCACAGCCCCTCCCCCCAGCCCCCCCTTACTTCCTGGGGCTCTGCACTTGAGAGATCTGCAGCTTTTGGAACATCTCAGGAGGCAGAAAGGGCGAAAGCTTCCTGCCTTCATCCGAGGAGACTCTGCGGTGCCTGGAAACGGGAGCAGGGCCCCCCTTCTTCCCCACCAGCTTGGCCTTGGCCTTTCCTGGAATTGGGGAATTCAGAAAAACTCAGACAAAGCCCCGTTGTGGTCAAAGCAAACAGCTCTGCGCTGACAGAGGGGCAAAACAGGCCAAAGTCGCGTGCCAGATAGCAGGGTCCAAGGAAGAAGCAGACAGCCGGGAAAACAAACATCGGGCCCGACGGCAAAACCCAACTCCCAGCCTTTGCCTGGAAGCACAGAGCACAGAGCCAATTATGAGGCTTCAGACCCTCATCAGGCCTCGGCCCAGTTCAGAAACAGCCACCAACACTGGGTGCATTCCAAGCCGATTGGGGCCAGTCTTGAGAAGCTAAATAGGGCCAGACCTGGTCAGCAATTAGGTGGGAGACCTTCAAATGGCATTAGGCTAGTCTGGGAGATTGAAAAAACTCCCTGGAGGAAGGCAATCCAACATCATTTCCACACCATTTCCAAGAAAACGACAGCGAGGCCTCTGGAGCCACCAGGAGTGCGTACGGCAACTTAAAGCAGCCGTCTCCACATTTGGCAAATTTAAGAGTGGAAACTTTAATTCCAGAATTCAGGCAGTTGAAGTCCACACATTTTAAAGTTGCCAAGTTTGGAGACTTAACGGAAGCTTTATTCTAAAGTCACCACTTAGAGAGGAAGCCCTTACGAAGCAGTGAGTCGCTTTCCCTCCTGGACTCAACTTTGGTCCCATTGAAACGAGGAAGACCCCCCCTCTTTTGTTCTGCTTGATGGAAGGAGGGGGAGGGGAGTGCCTATAAAAAGGAACCGGGCTCACCTATTTTAGAAACGCTGCTCTTGGCCCTCTCCAGGCACTGCTCCGCTACCTTCAGCATCTTGGGGGTGTCCGGCACCAGGTCATTTTCATCCCCTTCGGGACAAGGAATGTGTGATTGTGTCTGTCCAATTACAAGGGGATGCAAGCCCACCTCAAAAAGACCTCCGAGAGAGCTCGGTGCCAACCCCCTTTCCCCTCCCCCTGGCAGGATACGGGCCTTTATTTTACTAGCCTAAAGACTCGAAAGCTTATTTTCCCCAAAGAAAACTGATGCTGCAAAGGAGCCCATCTCTTTCGGAGGGTCCCGGGGGGGCAGGGAAGGGGGGGGGGAGGAGGAAGCAGGGTTACCAGTCGTGGCCTCTTCCAGGAGAACCTGGGTGATGTAGCTGATGCTCTTTAGATATTCCACATAGGCTTCCTGCCAAGGAGGACAATTCAGCAGGTGAAACGACCAGAGCTGCCCTGGGTGGGCTTCCCTGCCCGCCTCCCAGGTGGGCTAGTGTACTTGTTGCCCTCCCTCCAACCCGGACCTGCTTTCCCAACCGAATTAACCCCAAGAGGGACAAGTCCCAGAACCAGGCCCCTCAAGGGGGGGGGTGCAAGGGAAGCAGGCTCTGCAGCTGCCCAGCTGTTTTGCTGCTCCCCCTCCCCTGCCCCCCCCCGGGGGGGGTTTCCAGATCAGCTTCATCCCCAGAATCCGATTCTCAGGGAAGGCGGGAGGGGAACTTAGGCATCGACCGCTCCGGGCGGAGCTTTGGGCTCTCCTGGCAACGGGGCCAAACCACCGAAGGCGCCTGAGGCTGGCTGGGGCTGGGCCAGAAGCAGAGCAGCTGAAAGACCCCCTGCTCCCCCCCCCAGCCGGCCAGGGGGCGCGGAGAGCTCTGCAACGCTGCCCCGCCGCCTCCCGGGAAAGGAGCGGCCGCAGCCCCGCTTCCCGAGGGCCCCGCCGCAGCCTAGCCCGCCCCGGCGCGCCTTCCCCGAAGGGCGGAACCCCGGGCGCCCCTCACCCGCGGCCGGTCTCCGGCGTCCAGCTCCAGGGCAGCCTTGGCCAGCTTCATGGCGCCCTGCAGCGGCTTCACCGGCAGCTCTGCGGCGGCGGAGGGCGCGGCTGCCATGGCTGGGCCGGAACTTCGCCGCCGAGGCGCGGCGGCCGCTCGGACAGGGCCGGAGCGGGTGAGGTCAGCAGGGGCGCGGCTCCGCCATTGCTCCGCAGGCGCCGGCAGGCAGGGCGGGCGGGGCGGGAGCAGCCCCGGGGAGGAGCCCCCTCGCTCGTGACCGCCGCGCCCGGACCGGCCCCGGGGAGCCGCGGCGCGGCGGCCCGTGTCTGGGCGGGGCGGGGGTCGCTCCGCGCATGGCAGGAAGGCCCGCCTGGGCTCCGCAGCCGCTCCGGCTCGGCGCCTGCTCAGGGAGGCTCCCGAGGCCCGGCCCCTGCGTGGGCGACCCCCGCCCGGCCCCGCGCAGAAAAGCGCTCCTCTCCCGCGGGAAGCCAGCCGGGCTCGCCTCCCCCCCGCCCCGCTCTGAGGCTCGGCGGTTCGTGCACCCTCAGCCGGCCTGGCTAGTCCCCAAATCCCGACTGAGCACACACGGGGGACGGGCGGCGCGGGGATCGGCGCCGGTCATGTGGGCGTCCAGCAGCCTGTCCCACCCGGAGCCCCCCGGGGACTCCGCCCGAGTCCTGCCCGGCCGGCGGCCGCCCGGGGGCTCCGCTTCAGCCCGGGGAGGGTAGAGGGCCGGGGGGCAGCCCAGGCGGACGGGGGGCTTGGAGTCCAGCCTCCGGACCCGCAGACGGCCTCCCTTGCGGGGGTCGGAGCGGGCCGGTCTTGCAGGCGCCTCCTTGGGAGCATCGGCCGGCCCGGCGGCTCCCCCGGGACTGTCCGGCGGGGCTCGGGGGCCGCGCCGGAGGGTCGAGGCGGCGGGCGGGGCTGCTGCTGGCGCGGCCGGCCGGGCTCCTCCGTCCGCCAGGGGCGCTGCGGGCCGGGCCAGCCACGGGGGGAGCGGGAGGGGGACCGGCGCCGGAGCTCCGAGCAGCAGCCGGTGAGGGTCTCCCACTGCGCGGCCATGAAGCGGGATCGGCGTGGTCGGTTCCTGCCCGCGGCGCCGCCGGCCAGGATCGGCTCAGAGCCGCCGCTGCCGGCCGAGATCAGCAGGCCAGACTCGCTGAGCCGGACGCGCCGAGGACGCGCCGCCGCCCGGGAGGAAAAGAGCGCGCCGGAGCCCAAGCGCTGGGCCTCGCCGCCCTCGGAAGCCGCAGCCGTGCCGGGTGAGCAGCCCCGGGAGCTTCGCCTGCGGAAGCCGCCCCGAGTAGCGCCATGGCCGGGGAGCCCCCGGAGGAGCCCCGCGCGGCCCCCCGCCTGCTTCCGCTGCGGCTTTGCCAGGGCTGCGGGCGCTGTCCGCGGCCGGCCGGTTCCGAGCGCCTCCCCGCCGTTTGCTTTGGGCCGCCCGGCAGGCCAGGTGCGGCGGAGCGACTCGGGGATTGGGGCGGCCTTTAGGTGGCCGGGATGCCCGCAGGATCCCTGAGCTGCTTCTGGCCGCGGGCTGAAGTTCCGCCGCTTCCCCCGCCGAGCTCGAGAAGGCCGAGGGGCCGTGGCTGCTCCGAGAAGCGCTTCGCCCTCCGATAAAAGCCCGGAAACGCAACGCAGCAGGCCCGAGTCTGCTACAGAGGCAGCCGAGGCTAGTTTGTATCGGGCGAGCTCCGGTTTCTCCTCTGGGATCCCGGCCAAAGACTTCAAGGGGGGCGGCTGGGAAAGGGCCCAGATGGGGCCCCAAACGCCCCTCCGCACCTGCCGGTTCTCCCTCCGCCCGCCCGGCGCCCCAGCCGGCTTTGTTCCCAGAGGGAGGGGCCTTTTGCCTGGGGGGGGGTTGGATTCCCCTCAAGCCCCTCCCTTCTTTTAAAGGCCGTGGGGGGAGGGGGAGGCGCGGGGAGCCTCTTTCGGCGGGCGGCCCGTCCAACTGCTCTCTGGCAACCCCTGCAGGGATCCCCCGGGGCTTGAGCACGGGCTTCTGCCGCCTTTGCCACGGGAAGTTCTCCTCGCGGAGCCTGCGCAACGCCTTCGGGAAGGCGCCCGTGGTGAGCGGGGACTCGGAGAAGCAGCGGCGCTGGGACCAAGTCTTCTTCACCGACTTCCAGCGGCTGGTGGGGGTGGCCGTCCAGCAAGACCCCTCGCTGCCCCCCTTTGTTTGCAAGAAGTGCCACGCCCAGTTCTACAAGTGCCGCAGCATCCTGAAGGCTTTCATCCAGAAGGTGAACGACTCGCCCGCAGGAGCCCCCAAGACGCCTCGAGGAAGGTAGGTGTGGAGCAGCCTTCCCCGTCTCTGTTGCCCGTCTCTGCCCACCGCCCGAGGGGGGGGGGGGCAGCTTCTCTGCCCTGCTGGTTCCCAAGTAACCCAGTTCTCATTGGTGACTTGCAAAGGAGGAGATTAATCAAGAGCTCCCTGCTCTGCTCTCACCTGTCCCCCCCTCCCTTCTCTGCACAGGAACAACCTTGCCCAGCCTTCACTGCCCCTTGCTTCAGAAGGAGAGGCGCCTTGTCTGGGTAAGTGAGAGACCGAGTTCCCCTCGATGGTTTTGGCTGCTGCTCCTTGGCATTCCCTGGGGGCTGGAGGCCTGCCAGCCAAGGATGGTCAGCAGCACAGGCCTTGCGCTCCAGGTGGACACCCACAGTGAACCTGCATGGCCATCCTCTGTCTAGCTAGGACGCCAACTCCTGATCCGAACGGAGGAGCAGAATATATCTTCCAGCATTAAGGCAGCTAATAAGCCCCCCCCCCCCTGGGGATTTTTCTCTGTGCGCTACCTTAAAGCGTCTGCATTGGCCTTTAGGATTCCCCAAATGGCGTCTTTTGGACCGACGTTCAAAGATGTTGCGCGTAGGAGACATTTTGAAGGGACTGATGAGGAGAGTTTGAAATTGAACTCATGATAGTAATTTTTTACCTGCCGCACTTCACGCCAGACGTGGCTAAGGCTAGAAAACTCCCCTTCCTCTAAAACAGTGTTTCTCAACCTTGGCAACTTGAAGATGTCCGGACTTCAACTCCCAGAATTCCAAATGCTGTCTGGGGAATTCTGGGAGTTGAAGTCCGGACATCTTCAAGTTGCCAAGATTGAGAAAACACTGCTCTAAAACAATGGAGAGGCACAAGGGGCATGAATGAGGGGTTTCATTCCTGTACAGGGAAAGCCCCCCCCTGCCTGCCCCTAGGAGGATTGTTGCAGGACTCTAACCATCAGGCTGCAAACTTCCACCACACACCCCCCCCCAGCCTGAGGCAGTCATCTTAATTAAAGGTGAGCCTCGCACCACACCTGCGAAATATGCAGGTGTGAAATAGACAGTGCTCAGTTTTCAGTTTTATTACTTGAGCGGAAGTGTGGCTGAGAATTCTGGAAGGGATCCGGCGTCTTCCTAGCAGGGACTGCACATCCCTGGGAAGGAAGCTGTCAGCCCGTCCTCCGGCTGCACCAGGCCCAGTCCGAACCACCCCGCGAGCGCTTGCAACAGCCGTAACTGGAGTGGGGATGGCCTTGACCGTAGGCCCCTTTTCTCCCTCTGATCTGCAGACCTGGTAACCTCCAGCCCACAGTGCCTTCACCAGCTGGTGAGGTGGAGCCATGGCCACGCGGAGAACTGCCCGATGGCACCGAGCTTGCAGAGTGTCTTGTCGTCCAAGTACTGCGGGATCATCAGAGCCGTGTGGGGCTGCGAAGAGGGCCACAGCTACATCATGAGCACCGACTCGGACTGCAGCGCCTTGCTGGTAGACAGCGCCCTGGCCGTCCAGTGGGAGCTGAAGAAGGAGAGCCCCCAGCAGCACGTGACAGGCAATGGGGTGGCATCCGACAGCTCCACAGGGGTGGCCGTTCCTTCTCTGCAGCCCCAGCGCAGTGCATCTAGAGCGGTGGCCGGACAGCAGCCGGCAGACAGTGGGACTGCTTTGCCGGCATCCGGTGCAGAAAACCTGCTTCCTGAGAGCCGAGCTTTGCCTTCCCTCCAAGGCCCCTTGCAGGAGGACCTGCTCCAGGCGACCTGTCCCCGGCCGGGCAGCCCAGGTAAGAGGGATGCTTCTGGCAGCGATGGAAGCAGCCACCCCAAGGGAGCCGGAGGGGGTTTGAGCTCAAGCTGGAGAGACTCTCAGCTGCTGATGTGCCTGCGTCCCCCTCCTGGCAGTTGATTCTTCTGGGTCCGGAGGAGAGAGAGGAGGCAAGGACCCTTTCAGCCCTGGGAGACCCATGCTCCCGTCTCCGCTCCATGGAGCCCCTCCCTTGCGCCTTTGGGTTCTGCATTTTCATTTCTGCCCTGTTGGTTAATTGGCTCCTCACCCCTTTTAGTCCAGAGACCCCCCCTCCTTTTCGGAAGGAAGCCGGCCGTGGGCACAGAAGGCTCAGGCCTTTTCCCCTCTGGCGGCTCTGCAGGCCTCCACCCTCCCTAACCCCTGCCCTTCTCGCTTCCCTAGGGCGGCCGAGTGAGAAGCCGGCTCCCTCTGCAGCGTCGGATGAGCGGGTAAAAGACGCGTTCAGTGACCTTTCTGAGGGGTGAGAGAAGGGGGGCTTCGAAACGTCCTCTTTGCGCGCATGAAAATGATGGTGTTGCAGGGAGACATTGGCCCCGCCCCACTGAGAGGATTTGGAGGATGTTGGAGACGGTTTGCAGGGAGGGGAGGGGGCGATTGACAGGGGCCGAAGAGCAGCTCGTGATGCCGCCTTTGGATAGTTTGACACCAGCACCCTTTGAACAAGTTTTGAACTTTGAACAGGTTCCACTTTAAGTCTTCTCTGTCCTATTGGTTGCACGAGTGAGAAAAGGAAGCTTCCTTTTGTAGGAATCTCCAGGCCCAGGTTGAAGCTTTCAAAAACTCTCCTTGGGGCTGAGCCCTCACTGAGGTCCCCTACCGATCATCTTGGTTGGCTGCTGGAAGCTGTTGCATCTGGAGATCCTGTAATATTTTTTGGAGTTGCTAAGACGGGGACTCTCCGGAGTCTTCCTTGGCTCAATGGGGATGAGCCTCCAGATTTCCCAGGGCCCTTTTCAGGAGAGCCTGCAGCTCCACCAGCCTTCAAAGTCACCCTTTGTTCAGCTGCCTCCCATACCAGAGTATCGATGATGGTCCCAGAGACGTCAGGACAGAGTTGGGTGACTCTATTACGTCATACGGAGGGTGGGGGGTCCCTTGGTGAATAGCCAGCTGAAGCCGAGCCAGGTGC